TAGTCCGGTGCAGGAACGGAATTTGGCCTTTTCCACAGTCCTCTGGCGACCCTCTACGAACATTCGCTTTCTTAATAGAGTTACGTTCGTACCTGTCTCTTTGCAGTGGGCTTTGCTTCTCCCTTTCCTAGAGCAAGAAAGGTTGGACTGGAAATCACCACCACGGTCACATAACGAAAAAACAAACAAGCACAAGAAAACACAGAGACGGCAAGTGAACCGAAACTCAAACGGAGCATGAATGGACACAGGGCCTAGCGCTGAGAACGGCGATGGTGTACCCGTTTGGTCTCTGGGCGCAGTGCCGGTACCGGATTGGGCTCGTCCTGACCGCGGTGGGAGGGAGTGTCCGTCAGATAGACCTCCACGTCATCAGGCACTTCTTCGAGAAAATTGGATGGAACCAAGCCCCGATGTCCATTAAGCTCACCCTGAAAGACAAAAAACAAAACACAATAGTGCTGCAGGCTCAGAATAAAGCAGCGTGAGCAGTCAGCATAACAATGATACTTACATAATAGAAGCCGTCTTCATCTATATCCCCAAAAACAGCAATGATATCGCCAGCACAGAATGTCAGTTCAGCCTGCCACAGAAAGCACATAATCAGTAACTCCACAGACACGCGTATGCAGCAGATTGAGAACCTGTGAGTGTATAAATAAATAAATGCGAGTGTGTTTAACACCTCAACATCAACGTTTGGCGAGCTCTCTCTGGGGTCGTAGTCATACAGGGCAACCATTCGTCTTGTGGCCACTGGGTGGCGACCTCTCTTATTTTGTTCTGTTGAAGGAGAGAGAATCAGTTCTTCTGTGAGAGAGGCAGGCTATGTTCAAAACAAGATTTGATTGATTGGCATGGTCTAGATAGTTGCTATGCATTCTATGTATTCAAACAAAGTAAAAAAACAAAATTTTTTTGGAAGCAACATATAAATCAGAAATACTTCGTATATACCATCATCTCATTTGGGGTCAGTAAGTTTTTTTTTTTTTAATAAATATAAAAATTTTTAGGCTCATTCACACCAAGGACAATAACTATGATATTTTAAAAATCTAATTGTAAAATAATAGAAAAGGCCAGATAGCTATACAACAATAACAACAGGGAGGATTTATATCATTTTAGTTTAGTTTAGTTTAGTTTTATTTAAAGTTTGACATGACAGGATATTGCGGCACAAAACCCTGAAATGTGTCAAACATACACATACTCCAAGACAATCATTACTTAGTATAAAACGAATAAAAGATAACTGATATACAAGCATAATAAATAAAAATAAAAAATTTACTAAAATATATATACACATATATACAGGTGCATCTCAATAAATTAGAATGTCGTGGAAAAGTTCATTTATTTCAGTAATTCAACTCAAATTGTGAAACTCGTGTATTAAATAAATTCAGTGCACACAGACTGAAGTAGTTTAAGTCTTTGGTTCTTTTAATTGTGATGATTTTGGCTCACATTTAACAAAAACCAATAAAATAAAACCAATAAAAAAAACATTTTTAGTGAATAGTTGGCCTTCTGGAAAGTATGTTCATATACTGTACATGTACTCAATACTTGGAGGGGGTTCCTTTTGCTTTAATTACTGCCTCAACTCGGCATGGCATGGAGGTGATCAGTTTGTGGCACTGCTGAGGTGGTATGGAAGCCCAGGTTTCTTTGACAGTGGCCTTCAGCTCATCTGCATTTTTTGGTCTCTTGTTTCTCATTTTCCTCTTGACAATACCCCATAGATTCTCTATGGGGTTCAGGTCTGGTGAGTTTGCTGGCCAGTCAAGCACACCAACAACATGGTCATTTAACCAACTTTTGGTGCCTTTGGCAGTGTGGGCAGGTGCCAAATCCTGCTGGAAAATGAAATCAGCATCTTCAAAAAGCTGGTCAGCAGAAGGAAGCATGAAGTGCTCCAAAATGTATTGGTAAACGGGTGCAGTGACGTTGGTTTTCAAAAAAACACAATGGACCAACACCAGCAGATGACATTGCACCCCAAATCATCACAGACTGTGGAAACTTAACACTGGACTTCAAGCAACGTGGGCTATGAGCTTCTCCACCCTTCCTCCAGACTCCAGGACCTTGGTTTCCAAATGAAATACAAAACTTGCTCTCATCTGAAAAAAGGACTTTGGACCACTGGGCAACAGTCCAGTTCTTCTTCTCCTTAGCCCAGGTAAGACGCCTCTGACGTTGTCTGTGGTTCAGGAGTGGCTTAACAAGAGGAATACGACAACTGTAGCCAAATTCCTTGACACGTCTGTGTGTGGTGGCTCTTGATGCCTTGACCCCAGCCTCAGTCCATTCCTTGTGAAGTTCACTCAAATTCTTGAATCGATTTTGCTTGACAATCCTCATAAGGCTGCGGTTCTCTCAGTTGGTTGTGCATCTTTTTCTTCCACACTTTTTCCTTCCACTCAACTTTCTGTTAA